GGGCAGTACTACAGCTAAGTTCAATGGTAGTATGTCACTTGTGGTGTTGTGGTAGTTCATCATGTATACCTTAGTTGTGAAGATTGAGAAGCAAGCCTGCCAGATCCTTTACTGGGATAATGATGAGAAGGTATTCTTCGTCCAAGATGATCAGTTCAATCAACAAGAGCTCCCTCAAAGATACGTCAAGGAGGCAAGCAAACTCTTAAAGAGTAGGTTGAGGATGACCGAATGAGCTATTCTGGTGGTCAGTGGTGTACATATCTTAGATGGTGATCAAGTTACACTGTGGCTCGATGACGATGAGATCGTCAAGGTTAGTATACCAGCAGCAGTAATGGAGGCTAATCGATGATAAGCAATAGCCGCACATGATAATGGATATGATGGTAGTTTCAGTCACTGCTATCTTATGATGCTCTTGAGTAGTATACTTCAATACAGAGGGTTATTATTACTACTAGTTTTGGTGTGATTTTATTGATTAATGTCCTTCCAGAGTTTTTCTCCGACAGCCAAGGTAGAGAAGAAAGCAGCTGGGATAGTGAAGAGCATCCTGTCTAGTAGTGTATCGGTTATATCTGCTAACTTTGTTGTTGGGAGCACTTCAGCGGCAACGTTACTCTTTTCCCGGCCAGATCTTGAAGAATTCGAGCCTCGGAAATTCTGCCGTCATATCGTGTTTCGTGAGGATTATGGAAAAGACGATACTTTAGTGTTGCCGGATATCCCTGTGGATGAACGAGTGAAGGCTCGAGCCTTCGGCAGTGATGGCTGTTCCTGTGAAGCACGAATTGTAGCTGGTGCTGAATCTAAGGAGCCTGCTAATGGGGCCAGTGGTAGCAGCTTGTTTTTGGAAGTGTATGACAATAACCAGCAGCAGCTGGTTAGGAGGCGACTACCAGACGATGTTGTAGAGGTTCGCAATGGTGGTCCCTTTGGTGAGCTTATTGTATATGGTACCTCATATGTTCTCATTCCTGGGGAACGTCGTCCTCCCAAGTATCCAAAGACTTGGTGGAGCACCAAGGCATCACCCCTAAATGGAGTTGATGGGGATGCAGGTGAGCTAGAAGGCAGTCATGTGTCCGTTTGCCATGTCATACCATGCTTATCTGCCCTTAACGCATTAGTACTGCATCATTACTATCAGGCCACGTTGACAAGAATGCTCCTCAGCTTACGCCCCTATCGCGATTTCGATATAAGCCCAACTTTGGAGAGAAGTTGACTAATATCAAAGAGCCCTGCATCTACATATACTCTATTGAAGATGACGTGTTCATTGACGTTAACCATCAGCTTGGATCCCAGTTTATGGAGAATAAGACCCTTGGGTATCTCTATAGTCTCACTGTCATTGGTAACTAAGCCTTATAGGTATGCTACCTTCAGTAGAAAAGGTAGAGGACTATTCCTGACAGTGTATCACACTGGTCCAACACCATTAGCAAGGGAAGGCCTGTCAGTATGCTTTAATCGCCCTAGTAGTATATACTACATAGAAGACTTCGCGGCTCATACAATCACACCCAGACTCATCACTCAAGACTTATACATGGCTATAGGCCCCAATCCTTCACCAGATGGTGATCATATGCGTCGCCTTGATATATGTATTTGGATCATTCAGGTGAGCGAGTGGTCTTTGTCGGGGCTCGAAATCGCTTCACAACTCACATCACTGCTATGGAGTTATATGTGCTCGATCCCAATAGTTTGGCCTTCCACGAGGTGCCAATAATGGGAGATGATACCTGGAAAGGTACACTATATGGTGGATCGGCTTCGGGTCT